GATTTATTTTAAATAATTTATTAGTATGGATTGATTTATTTTAAAATATGGATTGATTTATTTTAAAATATGGATTGTTTTATTTTAAATAATTTATTAGTATGGATTGATTTATTTTAAATAATTTATTTGTATGGATTGATTTATTTTAAAATATGGATTGATTTATTATTGTAGTTGTATGGATTGATTTATTTTAAATAATTTATTAGTATGGATTGATTTATTTTAAAATATGGATTGATTTATTTTAAATAATTTATTAGTATGGATTGATTTATTTTAAAATATGGATTGATTTATTTTAAATAATTTATTAGTATGGATTGATTTATTTTAAATAATTTATTTGTATGGATTGATTTATTTTAAAATATGGATTGATTTATTATTGTAGTTGTATGGATTGATTTATTTTAAATAATTTATTAGTATGGATTGATTTATTTTAAAATATGGATTGATTTATTATTGTAGTTGTATGGATTGATTTATTTAAAATAATTTATTAGTATGGATTGATTTATTTTAAAATATGGATTGATTTATTTTAAATAATTTATTATTGTAGTTGTATGGATTATTTAAATTTCAGTATTGTAAAACTAAAATTATTTAAATCTCAGTATTGCAAAACTCTTTTAAGTTTAAAAAATCAATTTATTTATATTTCAGTTCATTTTAGCAGTCTGCAGACGTTAAAAAACAAACAATCTTCTTCTTGCAGACTACAGACTTTTGGTCCACCTCTGCTGCTGCAGATTCCTGCAGATGTGGTCCGCAGATTGCAGACCTTTCACCTCTGCAAAAACAAACACCACCTTAGTGAAAATCTTAGCTTAAGAGATAAAAGAGCTATAAAACAATCAAATTTTATTGGTAAAGATTTTTCTGGAGGAATCATGAAGTGGACGACTTGAGATCTAGAGGTGTTGATGTAACTTCAGTATCTGTATTTGTTCAAAACCAAGAAAATTTGGGGTTGAAATTTCTTATTAGGATGGAAGATTTGTAATGACAAGAATTTTAAATCAACATGTGGTAGTTAAACCTAAATAGCTATGGGCTAGATTAGGAACATATTGAACCATTGATACATATTGGGCCTCATTTGGGTAAGAATTGGGCCTATTTACGCCTACACGTAGTTGAAGACTACGTGGATAATTAACTAGTAAAGGAAAGAGAGTTGATCTATCTTGATTTGATATATGTCACGTGTGGGGCTTGTTGAGGAAAAAGTCAAGCATTCGTCTTCCATTCTCTTTCTTATTTTATCTTTTCTCCATTTTGTTTTGCAACTCTAATATTTGAAAGAAGAGCTAGCTTGAGAGTGATTCATAGCATTAAAGGTAATGTTAGTAATCTTTGCATTCTAAGGTGTATTTTTAGATCCATATCCCCATGGATTGAGGTTGAGGGTAAGCTAAATTTTAGAGGGATTTTATCCTCTAGAGTGGAAGAAAGCTCCATCCCAAGTTTTTATGCATCTTAGTGTTGTTTAATAAGCTTTCTTATGCTTGTGTTGATTGTGTGCTTTTTTTTTGTCTCATGGTTAGTCAAAGAATGTGGTGAAACCTCTAGGATTAGAGGCAAAGAAAAGATAGCTGGAAGTTAAACAAGAAGCCTCCTTTGGTGATTTTGAGTAAAGATGGTATATTATAATCTCTTATCATATTATAGTATTCATAAATGTGATTTCTTGTGTATGGTTTATAGCTTTTGAAGTATGATTGAATATGTTTGATGGCATAGTTGATGAATTTGATGTTAAACATAGGTTGTTATGTTGCTAAATGAACCTATAGGACCTCCTTAAACTTTATAAATGAAGTCTGACCTTAATGGTAGCATGTAAAGGGGATTAGGGGTGATTTTTAAGCCTTAGATGAAATTTTATAGTCTTGTTATTGATATTGGTTGAATGAGTGTAAAAATCTAGACAAAAATATTTGTGAGTATAGATATTATTCTTCACGATATCGATACTATTCAGAAGGTATCGATATTGAGGATATGATATCAATATTTGGATAATTTATTAGAACTTTGAAGCTAGAATATGTATTGATACTCTACGTGGGTGTCGATACACAATGGGCGAATATTGATACTCATATAGGTGTATCAACATCCATTTTAATTAAATTAATTTTGAATTGCTATTTAGTATCAATACTTAGGGGTGATATTGATATTTAAGGGTTGGATATTAATACCTAGAGGAGTGTATCGATAACATCAATGAAAATTTGGCTAAGGATCTTATTGAAATGAAACTTAAGGTTAGTATGACAGATTGAGTTTAATATGAAGTATTAACTCATTAAATGACAAATGCTCTAAAAATGTATAAATAAAAAAATCCATAGAGGAATAGTTGATTTAAAAGTGATGACTTAATGGCTTAAAACGAGTAATTGGCTTAAAGTGCCAGTTGGCCTTAGTAGAAAAAAAGTGTTTGTTGTTGGATTTAGTGGCTAAGTGTGATAACTAGTTGACCTTAGTTGGGTGAGCATAGGTGCTAGTTGGCCTTTGTGGCATTTGCTTATATGCATATATGATGTATCTATGTACGTAATCTTAATGGCGATTTATATATAAATAATGATACAACCTTAGTGGCAAATAAATATATATAATAACAACCTTATTGGCAAGATGATGAATATGCATGTGTATACTTATGTAGACTTAGCGGCAAGATCAATCTGAATATATGTGATCATATATATATTTATACTCGATGCTAGATGAGATCAAGTTATATTGGTGTATTATTGATGTTAGATAGTAAATTGGTAACTATAGATGAGAGTTCATGGTTAGGCTAAATAGTTATGAACAAGGGAAAGCATGAACCCAATATAGTTGAGTCAATGAGATCTATCTATTTCAAGCACGTCTGAGATTATGTATCATGTATATACCCATTTCTAATTGTTTATTTTTTTAGCATGTTTATGTTTATGAAATTAATGATGTGTACATTATATTATTGAGTTTGGAAATTTAGCGTTCGAATATTTTCTTTCACATGTTAGTAGACTTAATCTATTTGTGGAGCATCGTCACTTTCAAGGTACAATTATTGAGTATTATAATGGGTGTATATATCCATAAGACACTTATCTTGTATTTGGTATGTAAACATGCTTTATATTTTGGAATTATTTTAATAACTTTCATAAACATAACTCTAGTTTTTAAACTTGTTTTGAATGAATAATAATCACCATGGTTTGGTTTTGTAATTGTTTTCATATTGTGGTTGAAAAATAAAAGAATTTTCAAATAGAGGTTGCTTCGGTGGCCCAATGTGGCACACTAGACCTAATCGAGTTTAGAGTGTTACAAAAAACAAGATAAAATATTATATCTCAAAAGAAATATGTGAAACAAATTTTAAGCAAATTCAAAATAAAAAATTACAAGCCAGTAGCCACTCCAGCAAAAACATGCATGGAACTAAGTTTTAATTCAACGAGAGAGCCAATCATTTCAACATTATTTAGAGTCGTCGTTGAAAATTTAATGTATTTAACTATTATATGACCAGACATAACATACAATGTGGGATTGGTAAGTAGATTCATGGAGAAATTAAACAATATCACTTGATTACAACAAAGAGCATTTTGAGATATGTCAAATGTACGATAGATCATGGTTTGTTATGCACACATTCACAAAATTCAAAGTTAGTTTATTATTCCAATAGTGATTACATTGGAGACCTAGATGATTGAAAAAGCACTTATGAATATTTATTCTATATTGGGTCTATAATATTTTCCTGATCATCAAAAAAGCAACATACAGTAGCTCTTTCAGTATGTGAAGTAGAATATATAATCACTGTAATATGCTCTTGCCAAGCAATTTGGTTAAAAAATATTACAAAAAGGATCAACTACAATTTAAATTAACAACAAATCTACAATATCTTTTATAAGAATCCAATCTCCCATATTGATACAAAGTATCATTTTATATGAGAACATGTAAAGAACAAAATTATGGACTTAATCTATTATAGAACAAAAGATCAACTAGCGTATATTTTTATAAAATTATTAATAACAAATTTATTCAACAGACTAAGAATAAAAGAAAAGCTTGAAATGTAAATATGTTAAAAACAACTAAAAACTAATCAAATCAGACAATAATCAACTGAAAAGCCACCACCGCTGCCATGACGCAAGAAAATTTTGAAAATTAGAGCACTAACTTTCTTTTATTTGAGATATTTAGATTAAATTATAATAATGCGTATAAATTAGAAATCCAATTTATTATTATGTCTGCGTTGTTTACCTAATAAAATAAGGATAAATTATAAATTTATTCGCTGAATTTTACTCTCTATTCTATTTCACTCATTGTACTTTTAAATTTTTTAATTTCATCACTGAATTTTATACATTGAGTCTTTTTATCACTCACCGTTTTTCTCACTAACAATTTAATGATGTGGATTAATTTAATATTGAAAATAGAAAATAATATTTTATGGAAAATAAGATTTAAAATAAAAAATTAAATTAAAATTATTAAACCCTAATCTCAAATCTCAACCCAAACCCAATCCCAAACTCACCCCATCCGTTTGCCAACGCTGCTGCTCAGCTGTCAAACCCTCAAAGCCCTCTGCCACCGCTTTATTCAACTGCACCACCAATATCAATTCCATTACTGAAAATATGATGATGAGAGAGGAGGGGCAACAATTATCATATGTAGAATATTGAAACCTGGACATACCCAATTTTTTTTTAAAAAAATAGATTTAATCACTCAAAATGAAAAAAAAAACAAAAAATAGAATGAATTCCCATCTTTGTGAGTTATAAAAAGAAAACTTAATGCATAAAGTTCAGTGAAAATTAAGATAATTAAAAGTATAGTGAAAAAATATGAGGAAAAAAAATTTAATGAGTAAATTTACAATTTACCCATAAAATTGTTAAGAAATTACAGTGGGCCTTGGTCCAAAAACGTAAAACAGTAAAAGAAATTAAAAAGAAAAACCCTAGAAAAAACCCATGTCTATCGAACTCATTTCTTTTAGCAGAAGAAAATGGCGGTAGAGAGCTACGTGGTGATTCACAACATAGCAAAGAGGCATAACGTTGGAACGCTAGCTAGAAGCGCTACCGCCTTCGGTGTCAGCGAATTAATCTTAGTGGGCCGCCGTGACTTTAACGCCTTCGGCAGCCACGGCTCCACTTCCCATCTCCGTTTCCGCCACTTCCATTCCCTCGCCGACGCGCGCAGTTACCTCAAAGTAAGCATCCTTTTGCCTCTTCCCAACGAACCCATTTCTCAAAATCCTTTTGTTTCTTTAACCTTTTCCGTTTGGGTTCTATTTTTGTTTATAACTTTGGACTATATTTGAAGGAAAAAGATTGTGATATTTGTGGGGTTGAGATCACAGACGGTGCTGTTTCAATAACTGATCATCCTTTCAAGAAAAGCACTGCTTTTCTTCTTGGCAATGAGGTAAAAAAACGAGAACCCATTTGCTAAATTTAGCTGAATTTTCTGATTATTGGGTTTTTCTTATTGAATTTCTCTAATTAATGTTTTGCAGGGAACAGGGCTTTCAGCTAAGGAATGTGAGATATGTGATTTCTTTGTTTACATTCCTCAATATGGAGGTGGCACTGCCTCTTTGAATGTCACTGTTGCTGCTTCTATTGTATTGCATCATTTTGGAGGTATTTTCAATTTCAATCATATCTTACTTTATAAATGTCTGTAGCTTTCGTTACATAGACTTTTTTTTGTTGTTTTTAATCTTCGTTTTGGAAGATAGTTTCTTAGAATAGAAGCTTTGGTTTTTAAAATCATGAAGTTATTATATATTGTACTTGATAGGATTGTTGTGAAGATAGGCATTGCCTGCCTTAGTTTTTAGAGATAACCGGGCTAGAGTCAAGACTGTGAGCCATGCAAGCCGTAATGTTCTGATAAATAGTCGTTTACTCTTTCCTATTGATTGGTTATCTAGTAATTGGTTTATATTGAGAGGCACATATTCGTGTGGACATTGTATGTATCTAGCTATTGGACTTGGTTCTTTTATTCTAAACAACTAGTTGATAGCTCCATTTATGTTCAGATATCTGCTTCCTAATTATTCGTTACACAAAGCCGAAGTTAAACTAGAGGTTACCCTTCCGTGGTGTTTCTTGTGTGGTGTCTAGATTTTGTTGCTTCTGTGGAACTTATGGTCCTTCAATTAAGGAGTCGAAAAAGTCAAATGGGATGTCAAACGTGTTTCGCTCGACTTTTGAAGTGAATTCTAGCAGTTATGTTGCTTCTCTTTAGTTATTTACGCAACCTATCTGTTAGCCTGTCAATCTTCTTAAATCATGTTAGTCGACTTAATGTCATTTTTTTTCAAAGTATCCATGCTCGGTCCATATACTGACATGGGGTCGTAGGCATCCAAGGATCCTCCAAGTACATGACACACTCGTATTTGATACTTACACCTGAGTTCAAGTAACATAGGCTCTTAATACCCGACCTTGTGCAGTTTGGGCAGGTTTTTCCGAGAGGAGCCGCGATGGAAACAAGTTTGTTGTGGCCGAGAGACCTTTAAAACAGGTTAGCCGAAAATACTGCTCAGAAACAGAAGAACAAATCATCGAGGACCGAAAATTGAGAAGGGAAAGTGCTTCCAATGGATTCTTTGAGGATGGAAAAAACTGTGTATCTTCTTCCAACCTCTTGGACTCATTGTTTCCTGACGAATGATTGAGGGAATCAAAGATTGACCCATACAACCTTAAAAAGTAAATTGGTTCAATGGTCCAACTAATTGAAAAACTAATGTAAACATGTGGCAAACAGCTTCTACATAACCAGGGACCCCTTCTCAGAGTGACAAATTGAGCTTTTTATTAGTAGTTTTTTTTTTTTGCTATGATTTGCATCTTCTGTAATTGCAATGGTCATTTTCACATTATTGTTTTGTATTTTATAATAATTGTCTCTTTTTTGCTTCGGATATATATATATTTGCAATATGTACCGATTAGAGAGAATGACAAGAACCTTGGTTTTCATATCATTGGTAGCAGACTTGCAGTTGGTTTAGTTTTGGCTTGTTGTTGAAGGAGCTCAACAATTTTAGCTCCAAAATAGACCAGAAAGATTCAAGCGTTGAAAAATAATATGGTGAATTCTTGGATTGTGAATTCGATTTCTAAAGATATTGCTGCTAGTTTACTTTATCATAGTTCTGCTGCTAAAATGTGGAAAGATCTTGTTGAGCGTTTCCAACAATCGAATGGTCCTCGATTGTTTCAGTTGAAGAAAAAGTTGAATGGATTGGTTCAAGGACAGATGATGGTGTGTACGTATTACACTCAACTGAAAATAATACGGGATGAACTTTCTTCTATCAAACAAGTCTGGACTTGTTTATCTTGCACCTGTGGAGGAGTTAGAATGATGATTGATGAGCATCAACAAGAACAAGTTCTTCAATACTTGATGGGTTTAAACGAGTCTTTTGTCCATATTAGATGACAAATCCTTCTGTTGGATCCTTTGCCGTCTGTTTCCGAAGTTTTTTATTGATCATTCAGGAGGAAAATCAACTAGCAATCAAGATTGATAATCCTATTGCTGAAGCTACATTTGTTGTTAAGTCAAATCATGGGCCTCGCAAGAATCGTCCTCAGTGTACTTAATGCAATCTTCTTGGTCATACAAGGGATAAGTGTTATAAGCTGCACGGTTATCCTCCAGGTTATGGTTCCAAGAATTGGTCTTCCAGCTCTTCGAGTGCTAAATCAACTTCTTCGGCTCGCACAAACTCCGTTCTTGTCACTGATGATCTTTCTCAGAACTCTTCTTCAGCTAATGAGGCGTTAACTCCTCAACAATGTCAATAAATAATTGCCATGCTTACTTCTTAGTTTACTGTTGCTTCCTCAATTGAGGTTCCCTCATCCTCGATAAACATGGCCATGCAGGGTGAGCTTTTGCATTATGTCAATAATTTGTCTTTTGACAATTCTCATTATTGAATTCTGGGGCTTCTAAACACGTTTGTTATTCGAAGTCTTTGTTTGAATCTTTAACTCCCATCTCAGGATGGTCTGTGATGTTACCGGATAAATCAGTTACACCTGTTGTTTTTGCTGGCACAATGCGGCTTTCACCTAGTCTTGTTTTGCTAATGTTTTGTTTGTTCCAGAGTTTCGATTCAATCTTTTATCCGTGAGTGCATTGACAAGAGATTCTAATCTCAGTGTGTTGTTTTGCAATACTAACTGCTCGATTCAGGACTTACATCAATGATTGGGAAGGGTAAATTACATCAAGGGCTTTACCTGCTGCGCATGGCTCCTTTAGTTGCTAGTGTTTCTTGTAATTGCATATCTAGTACTGTTTCTTGGCATAATAAGCTAGGCCATCCCAGTTTTAAGATTCTTCATCTCCTTAAAGATGTATCATCTTTGAAAAATACTAATGAAAAGTATGTGTCTGATGTTTATCCTTTGACTAAACAGCAGCGTCTACCTTTTCCCATCTCTACTTCTCAAACAAAGCTGGTTTTCGATTTGGTTCATTGTGACATATGAGGTCCCTATAAACATGCTACGTATTCTAACCAAACTTCCTTTTTGACTTTAGTTGATGATTTTTCGAGGTCTACTTGGATATACTTGCTTCAACACAAGTCAGACATTGGAACCATTATACCAGCTTTTATCAACATGGTTAAGAGACAGTTTGGCATTGACATTAAGTGCTTCAGGTCTGATAATGCCCCTGAACTAAAGTTTACTGACTTGTTTGCCAAGTTGGGTATTATGCCATCAATTTTCTTGTGTCGAGACACCACAGCAAAATTCTATGGTTGAGAGGAAGCATCAACATTTATTATCAGTTACTCGAGCATTATATTTTCAGTCGAGAGTGCCTATCAGATTCTGGGGTGATTGTCTTCTCACTGTCACGTACTTAATAAACAGACTTCTTTCTCCTCGTTTTCAAGGCATGTCTCCTTATGAGCTTCTCTTTGGACAGTGCCCCGACTATGGAATCTTGAAGACTTTTGGCTGTCTTTGTTTTGTCTCTACTTTAAAGTCGAAACGGGATAAGTTTTCTGCTCGTGCTTTACCAGCCATCTTCATGGGGTATCCTTCTAGTATTAAGGGATACAAGGTTTTCGTTTTACAGACTCAAAAGTTTGTGGTCTCTAGGGATGTGATTTTTCATGAGAGCGCTTTTCCATTCCATACTATCAGTCTGCCTGACAGTCTGTTGATCCCTTCAATGACTATTCTTTACCAAATTTAATTCTTGATTCTACTGACACTGTGTTTCCAGTGTTTTACAAGAACCTGGTTTGAGTTCTAATTCTGGGCAAGTGGTTCAACAGGAATTTCTTGACCAGTCCGTGCAGCAAGAAATTGTTGATCAGCAAGAACTTGTTGGTGACTTGGTTGTTCAGCAAGAAAGCTTACCTGAAACTGTTCCAGCTACAGCCCAAGCTGCTCAGTTACCTTCTCGAAGGTCTTCTCATGTGCCACAAAAGCCCTCATATTTGCAACAATATTATTGTAACAATACTTCCTCCACGTGATCTTATCCAACTGAGGCACATGTTTTTTCATCAAAGTTGTTTTCTCAGTTTGGTGAATATATTAGCAATATTTCAGCTGTATCTGAACCAAGTTTTAATCATCAAGTTGCTCGGACATATGTTTGGAGAGATGCTATGCATAAAGAAGTACAAGCAATGGAGACCTTAGATACTTGGTCAGTGGTTCCTTTGCCTAAAGGGAAGAGGCCAATCGAGTGTAAATGGGTGTATCGTGTTAAACGCAAGGTTGATGGCTCGGTTAGTTGCTAAGGGTTTCACACAGATTAAGGGCATTGATTTCATGGACACATTTTCACCTGTTGCTAAGAAGACCTTGTTATAGTCGGAGAAGAAGAAGGTCGAGGAAACAATGAACATTTGGGAAATGAGGAACGAGGGTTAGGGATTGAAGAAAGGGATTTAGGAATTGAAGCACGTGAAGGTCATGTGGGGAACTTACCTGATCAGTTGGAGCAGGCCAAGCAGATCCAAGGAGAGCTGGTGTGGCCCAAACACAATGGCCTAATACCTGCAGAAGATAAGAAAGGATAAGAAACATTCTGTTATTTAGTTTGTTATACAGGATTGCCAGCTGGCATCCTTAGATTTACCGTACAGAAATGTAAATAAATAATACCTGCCTGTGGGAGCAAATTTTCCTTATGCAATGAATGAATGAACTCTTTTCTTCTATAAATTCTTTCCTTCTTCTATCATTTTTTTCTCGAATCCTTTTCTATTTCTCTCGAGTCATAACAAATTGGTATCCAGAGTCTCATTTCCTTGCAAGTTTCAGAGGGTATGCCAAAGAAGAACCAAAATATGGCTGAAGCTGACCTCCCTGCACTGCAGAAACAAATTGGAGAATTAGCTATGTTGGTGAAAAAAGGCCAAGAAGAAACTAACCCACCTAAATAGTGGGAAAGTCAAGAAAATCGTATCACTGCATTGGAATCAAGGATGTCTACTAATCAAAGCTATGTTGAGGAGCTGTTAAAGATTTTAACAGACATAAATGGTAAACAAGAAAATTCTTCTAGTGAACAGATACAAACTCCTAATACTTCTAAAAATGAAGGGAAGAACCATGTTTTGGTTACTGTGGTGAATGATAAGTCCAGATTTGCTTATAAAACTGATGAGCCTATGATTTTAAAAACTAAACCTGATGCTTGTCTAGCCCTTAAGAATAGTTCTAAACCTGAGAATTAAATGGGTGAAAACAGTGAATCTAGACCTATTATGTGGGGTTCTGAAGTAGAAAGAAGAGGCCCAAGGGGTTCCTTTAATAGTTTAGGGTATATATTACATCGACCTAAAATTGAACTGCCATTTTTTGAAGGGGGTTAATCCTAGGGGGTGGCTGTATAAATGCCTTAAATATTTTTCTCTCTGTAGTGTTCTTGTAGAACAGAGAGTAGAAGTAGTCACTATGTATCACACGGGCAAAGCAAAGATTTGGTTTGATGGTTATATATCATGCAGAAACACCATGTAACATGGCATGAGTTTGAAGCAGATCTTTGTCACATATTCAGTGATAGGTCTTTATCTAATATAGTAGAGGAATTCACTAAGTTGACTCAGAAGGGGTCTGTTGGGGACTATCAAGAGAGATTTGAAGGGTTTCAACCCTACATGCTATTGCAAAATCTTATCTTAAATGAGGATTTCTTTGTATCCCTTTTTATCAGTGGACTTAGAGAGGACATCAAACATAGGGTCAAGGATCTAGACCCTAATAACTTTTCTGAAGCATGCAAACAAGCTAAGCTTTATGAATTATCTGTTGAGTTTGAGAACAGAAGAATGAGGCCTTCTTTTAAAAACCCACCCTACCCAAACCCCATTACTACTTCTAAGACAAATCACTGCCAGTACTTACAAAGACCACATCAATACCAAACCCAAAACAGAACCTCATGGACTACATAAGGCAAAATAACCTTTGTTTTAATTGTGGTGAGAAATTTCTTCAAGATCATCAGTGTAAAAACAAACAATTAAACATGATTACTAAAGAAGCTGACACTTCTCCACTGGAAGTTTTTCCTATTGATTCAGATCAACCTCCACAACAAGAAGAAGAAAACCTAGAAATTTCTATAATTGCTATTACTGGTTGCATTGGCCATAATACATTGAGAATTCAAGGAACTATTCAGGGCGGACCATTGAACATTTTAATTGATAGTGGCAGTACACATAGTTTTTTAACCCCAAAATGGCCTAATGCTGGCATTCAAATTACTACTCCTTACCCTTTTGTTATAACTGTGGCTAATGGACAGCAGCTTTCAGTTATGCTAGATGCAACAAAGTTGAATGGCAAATGCAAGGACACACTTTTATACATGATTTCAGATTACTTAAATTGGGTGGAAGTGACATGGTATTGGGGGTTGATTGG